TCACAATTGAAACACGTTAGACAACCTGGTTCACTTAGGAGAAGTTTAAAAGAAAAGTAAGTAAAATCTAGGTCGTGTAGAGTAACAATTGGTATCAGAGCAAGTTATCTTATACATGCTAACACCTAAGATAAAGATCGCGATGAATTCTGCACCACCTATCGGGCACATCGAAGGACAATCAACTGTTAGACCACCAATGTTCAATGAATCTCACTTTGGCTGGTGGAAGGCACACATGGGAGACTTCATACAAGCTAAAGGCTATGAACTCTGGGATATGATAACTACTGGACCTACCATTCCTATGAAGACTATGGAGGAGTACAAGTTCCAAAGGTTAGGATTGACTTCATTGTGGAAGACCTATCAGCTCTCATGAAAAATGCTAAGACCAAAAACATTCTAGTTTGTGGCCTAGGACCAGACGAGTACAACAAAATCTCAAATTGTACTACAGCTAAACAAATCTGGGATGCACTTGTCAATGCTCATGAAGGAACCAGTCAAGTAAGGAAATTCCGAGTAGCCATGTTGTTTACTGAATATGAAACCTTCAAGATGAAGGAAAGTAAACCTTTATTAGAAATGATCACTAGACTTACAAAGCTGATCAATGAGCTTTCATCTCTAGGGAAGGTTCTCAGAGGAGCAGGTTGACAAGGTGCTGAGGATTCTTCCAAAAGCAAAATGGGATATAAAAGTCACTGCTATAAGGGAAGCTAAAGATATCTCCATAATGACACTTGATGAACTTGTGGGAAATCTCAGAACATATGAGATGAATATGGATGACTTAAAGAAGGAGAAATGCTCAATGAAAAATCAATGGCCCTGAAAGCATCTGATGAAGAAGAATCTGATCTTGATGATGAACATATGGCATTCCTGGCAAAGAACTTTAAAAAATTCCTCAGAAAAGGAAAAGGGAATGAAATGAAGGAAACAAGTACTAAGAAGTGGTCGAATGAAAAATCTCAGTTTGGATGCTACAAGTGTGGAAAGACTAATCATCATATCAAGGATTGTCCACAATGGGAAATTGAATGGAGGAAAGAAAGAGTTGAAAAGGAAAGGAACGCAAAACAAAAGGAGGAATGTGCAATGGTAGCTACTTGGGGATCACGAACTAAGGAATCTGATGATGAAGGAATTGATGAAACAACCTTCATAGCTGTAGGAGACTCAGATCTTGATAAGGTAGAAAACTCTAAGGAATAATGGGCTGAGGCAGCTACTTGGGGATTGGAAACTGAAGAATCTGAAAATAACGAAACTGAGGAAACAACTCTCATGGCTGCAGGAGATTCAGATCTTGAGGAAGAAGAAAACTCTGAGGTTTGTATTCTTGTTCTAAAAGAAAAGTTGCACCTTTTTTCAAAAAATAAATTGATTGGATTAATAAGTGGTTTAATTGATGATTTTCAAGAATTAACCTATGAAAGAGATCAGTTGTTTAAAGTTTTTGCAGATTAAAAATTTGAGTGCATGAAACTCAAAAGTAGCAAAACTATAATTGATGAACAAAACAACGTCTAAAGAAACAGGTTGAAAAACTTGAGTCTTTTAATCTAGATCTAAAATCTAAAATTTTAAAGATGTCTGTAACTGGAAAAGGAAAAGAAGAAATGAGTGAAACTGAAGAAAAAATTGGAAAATGATCTGGAAAAATGCAAGAATGATTATTTTTCTGAAAAAGAAAAGGTGAGAAAACTAAATATAGAAATTTCTCAGATAAAAATGGATCTTGATAAGGCAAATAGATGGACTCAGTCATCCAGAATAGTTAATCACCTGAGTGAGAGAAATCACAATGAGAAAGCTGGCATTGTTTTTTATAAAGATAAGGCTATTACAACAGACTTATGCTATATTTGTGGCAAACTGGGGCATCCAAACACTCAACGTCCTGTAGCCAACAAATCTAGGAATAAGAGTGTTGATTTAGCAACTAACAACTATTTTAATACCAATCAGGAAAACAGGAACAAAAGTTGGCTGCCAAATTGGGCAAAAAGAAATCTTATTCACCCCTTCAATCATTGGAAAAGACCCAAGCTAGTCTGGGTTCCTAAAACTAACCTTTAAAATGTTTGCAGGTAAAAGTGAAAGGAAGCAAGCACTGGTATATGGATAGTTCTTGTTCAAAACATATGGCTGGAGACAAACATAAATTCCTTTCACTCACTGCAATAAAAGGGGAAAGTGTTTCATTTGGAGATGGAAAGAAAGGTACTATTGTAGGAGTTAGGAAGATTGGAAAGTCTGAATCCAAAGCACTGAAAGAAGTGTACCATGGAATGGGCTAAAACATAATTTGTTCAACATCTCTCAACTATGTGACAAAGGTAATAAAGTAACTTTTACTTCTGAAGGTTGCAGGGTTGAAAAGCTGGATACAAAGGAATTTATCTTAACAGCTAAAAGACATAGAAATGTGTACAAAGCTGACATCATGGGAATGCCTGGCACAAATTTGAAGTGTCTCAGTGCAATGGCTAATGATCCCTTACTATGAGACAAAAGACTTGGCCATGCAAGTTTGAATCAAATAAACAAACTGTTAGAAAAAGAGATGGTTATAGGCTTGCCTAAAACCAAATTAAAAAATGACAGAGTTTGTGGTGCATGTGTAAGGGGGAAACAAGTGAGATCTCCTTCAAGTCAAAGAACTAGGTAAGTACAACCAAGTGCCTTGAATTAATTCATATGGACCTATGCGGACCAATGGGGGTAAGAAGCAGATGAAGCAAAAGGTATGTATTTGTCATTATTGATGATTTTTCTAGATTCACTTGGACTCTATTCCTACCTTCTAAAGAAGAATCCTTTGATGTTTTTTCTATCTTTATCAAGAAAATGGAGAAAACTCTAGAATTGTCCTTGATTTTCATTAGGTCTGATCATGGAACAAAATTTGAAAATGCAAAATTTGTAGAATTTTGTTCATCTCATGGAATAGATCATAATTTTTCTGCTCCTAGGACTCCTCAACAAAATGGAGTAGTTGAAAGGAAAAATAGGACTTTAGAAGATATGGCCAGAACCATGATGATTGCCAACAATCTTGAAAAGAATCTCTGGGCTGAGGCCATTAGTACTGCTTGTTACATTATCAATAGATGCATGACTCATCCTATCTTAGAGAAGACTCCCTATGAATTACTCAAAGGTAGAGAACCAAATATCTCTCACTTGAGGACTTTTGGTTGCAGATGTTTTGTTCATAATAATGGGAAAAATAACCTGGGAAAATTTGATGCAAAGAGTGATGAGGGAATCTTCCTAGGATAGTCTCCACATAGTAAAGCATATAGGGTTTTGAATAAAAGAACAAAATGTGTTGAAGAGAGTGTGCATGTTATTTTTGATAAAAACAGCTCTTTGTTTGAGACTAACACGCAAGGTGATAATGAAATTGGGGAACACAGGCAGGAACAAGGTAAGCAACTTGATCCTTCAGGTGAGCAATCAGAGAACACACAGATAGGGGGAACAATAAGTCAAGATACTGGTCACATTGATGACCAAAATACAGTAGATACTACTGAGATCTCTTCAGGGCTGAATGTAAAGAGCTACAAGTATCAATGATCGCATCCAATTGATAATGCTCTTGCAGACTTAACATTTGGAATCACTACCAGATTAGGTCTAAAGAACTTATGTGCATTGCAAGCTTTTGTGTCCATGGTTGAACCCAAAAAGGTGAATGAGGCTCTTCTTGATAAAGATTGGATACAAGCAATGCAAGAGGAGCTCAATCAATTCGGGAGAAGTAAGGTATGACATTTGTTCCATCACCAGAAGGGAGAACAATGATTGGAACTAAATAGGTATATAGAAACAAGCTAGATGAGAATGGAACAGTCATAAGAAACAAGGCAAGGTTGGTGGTTCAGGGGTACAATCAGGAAGATGGAATCAACTATGATGAGACTTTTGCCTCTCTAGCAAGACTCGAAGCTATTCGATTACTTATTGCATTTGTTGTTTTTAAAGAGTCCATATGTGAAAAGTGCATTCTTGAATGGATATTTGAAAGAAGAGGTATATGTAAAACAACCACCTGAGTTTGAAAATCCTGAGTTCCCTGATCATGTTTATAAATTAGACAAAGCTCTGTATGGACTGAAGCAAGCTCCAAGAGCATGGTATGAAAGGCTATCTAAATTTCTACTAGACCATGGTCATACAAGAGAATTTTCAGGTATCTCAAAGGAACCACTGATCTGGGACTTTGGTACTTCAAAGAAAGTAATTTCAATCTTGTTGGTTATGCAGATGCTGACTATGTTGGATACTTGGTCGACAGGAAAAGTACCACAGGTATGGCTCACTTCCTTGGAACATGCTTGATTTCCTGGTCCACCAAGAAACAAAATTATGTAGCCTTGTCCACTGCTGAGGCTAAATACGTGGCGGTTGGATCATGTTGTGCACAATTGCTATGGCTCAAACAACAACTGTTGGATTTTGGTTTAAATGTTAGCCAGACTCCTATTTTATGTGATAATACTAGTGCTATTAATATAACAAAGAATCCTGTGCAACATAAACGAACAAAACACATTGATGTAAGACACCATTTTCTGCGAGAATGTAGAAAAAAGTCATATATCAATAATGTTTTGCTCCACTGAGGAAAAAATCGCTGACATTTTTACCAAAGCATTAAGTAGAGAGCACTTTGAGAAAAATAGACTAGACTTGGGTATGATTAAGATTGCATAATTTCTCTCCCTCAATGATTGGATAGAAAACTGTCACTATATGAAAAAATAAGTGTTTAGGCTATGAAGTGATAAATTATCTAGTCTATCAAATACATTCACTTGTATATCAATTTTGTCCTTATATGCTCTTATAAATTCTCATGGATTTTTGTTACTTTGAACAATGAAATATAGGTACAAATTAGCTAAGCAAATCGTAGAGCACACCTCAGGTATAAAATGCTTTTAATTTAGAGTACCACATGCTGATACATATTAATAACATGGTTCTTTTATTTTTTCTCTCTCATTAATACTAACCGCCAAAAACCAAAAACCCTTCGTCTCCCTCTTTTTTCTGTTTCACTCAGAAAGCTGTCACCATCATATCACAAGTCCTCTCGTTTGTTCACCTTCTCAAAGCCTCCTCTTCTTCCCAAATACTTTTCTTGATTACCCATATTCACCAAAAGCTTGAATCCTCAAATATGGCGTCTTCACCGAAATCCCTTGGAAAAACTGAAATCATGAAGCCATCTGATAGTTCTCTTGCCTTGGTCAGCGTAGCATCTCCGTCAACTATTATCTTGATGTCTGAGGATGGAGCCCATGTTGTGTCGCTAAATGGTCCTCTATCCAGCCCAACTATTGCGGAAAATCATTCTTCGGACCTTCTTTTAGTTCTTCTTCATGAAGCATCGAGTAAGGGGGAATCGAGAGAACATGCAACTTTCAGGGTCGCACTAGATGGGTCTGCAAATTGGAGTTCTGTAAGTCGTAATCACTTTTTTCCTAGTTCAAGTGAACTTTTTCTCATGGCACCTTCGGTTACCCCTATCCCCTTGAGTATAGATACTTCTGTGGAAATTCCTTTGGCTAATCTTGTACCTACAAAGGGTAAGCGTCGTCTTAGGGCTCTCAATAGAAAGTTTGTGTAGAATCTTGTGTCTGAATCATCTTCACCCACAACTAATCCCTCAATTTTTGGTGTTAGGGTACAACAAACTCGCCAGAAATGTCATCAGGCCGAGATTGATCTGGCCTCTGCATTAGCAGCAAGTAAAAGGACCCGTGCCTCTGTAAGAACTTTCCCTACATCCCCTGACATTGTTATTTCTGATGATGATGTCGTTCTTAGTAGGGTTAGGCGTGGTAAACACATTGCTTCTAAATCTTCTTGCTCTAAGCCAAAGCCCACCCCTAAAAGCCATGAAATCCTCTTCAAAATCTGTCCCAATAGTTTGATCCTCAAGAAATTTCACGTCGACATCCAAAAAGAAACAGGTTGCTTCCCCTGTTTCCTCATCGTGTTCCTTGTCTGGATCGAATGTTGAGAATCCAACCCAGTCCAATCCTTCAGCATCTTCCGCTCAGCTTGAGAGAATTATTTACTTCCATCAACAATCAGTTCTTTAAGGAAGAGTGGTCATTGGATTTGGGGGTCCTGAGATGGCTGTGTTACTGTCCAAAACAGGGCCTCAAGGTTGGTCAGCTCTTTTTCTTCAGGGTGATATCCAACGTAAGATGGCTAAGAGGGAGGTAACTGAATTCTACATAAATAGGAAGAGTGATGGTCTATCTTTTACCTCCACTGTGAGAAGCACCCTTATTCAATTGGTCCCTGCTGATGTTGCTCGGATATTAGAGATTCCTTTTGCCGGGTAGAATCACTATGTAAAGCTTGAATGACCTTCTTTACCTGCCAATTCGTCTGCACTAAGTATCTGTTGAAAGTTCTTGTCAAAGCCTAATCTGCCTCATCATAATTGCATTGAGAAGAATGAGATGTCTCCGCTACATAAGCTCTACTTTGATGTGGTTCATAAGATTATCCTACAACGAAAGCAACGACGGACGCATGCTAACTTTCTTCATCTCACCCTTATGGAGTTATTGGACACTGAGGTGCCTATAAATTTACCCTCTCTGATTATCAACCACATGCACAGGGTTCTTAATCAGGATAAAAATGGTCATGCATTTCCTTATGGGTTCTGGATGGCTTCTATCTTTGAGTCTTTTGATGTGCCAGTACAGGTGTGGGTCTCTCAAACTGTCAAGGATGTGGTAGGTCGAGTTAATCATATGACTCTTCCTATTTCTATGAGGCGCCTGAACTCCCCTCTTCAGCGATTGAAATATCAACCTGCTGAGAAGGAAGATGAACTAGCAGCTATGACGACTGCTCATCAATTAGAAAGGGAGAGTTGGGAGGCTCAGGTAGTGGTTCTCCAAAATGAACTTGATCAGGAAAGAAATGCAAATATTGCCACTGTGCGCCACTTAACTAACCTACTATCCACTCAAAATCCCTCCTTAGTCCCTTGAAAGCTCTCTTCTCTTTTGTCTCTCTGCTCGACTATGCTATTTTTGTGAATCATGTTTTGTGTGTGCTCTCACTTTAAGACGTTTAATGCCCTTTGGTTGTATTCTATGTTCTGTTTTGGCTGTTCCTACACTAATTTCAGCTCTTGGTACTTTTGTCTATGTTACTCACTGTTTTTAGCTGATTTGGTTATGACTTTGATCGCCATATTTTGGTGCAGATTCAGTATTAATCATTTTAATGCTTCTATCCTTATTATTTATCTTGAAACCATTTTCGATGATGCCAAATGGGGGAAGAACAGGGTATGCAGTATTTATAACCCACAACTAATCTGTCTTGTCCAAAGTGTTCCATGCTTAAATGTTAATAGGTCAAAATAGCAAAGCGAAGATGGATGTATAAAATGGACATATGTTTGTCATCATCAAAAAGGGGGAATTTTTTGGGATAAACATTGTTTTGATAATTGACGAAATGCAAGGAACACGTTGGCAAAGTAATCTCAAACGTTGGTTTTCAAGGAAGACTTCTATTTCATAAAGGAGTTTCATTGCAAGTAAAACTCTAAATGAAATAGAGTTGTTGAACGAAAGAAGAGTCAGAAAAGGAATAGAAGACTTCTGATAGCAAAAGCATAAATAGAAGGAGATGTGTCCATACTCCTTACACATTTACAAAGCAATAAAGAATCATGTGATTAACTTTCAAGGTACTGCTGAACGGAGAACATTGAAAAACAGACTCTAGGAAGTATCTTAGTGTTTGTGATTTTATTGTATTGATAGTTCAGTGATTTATAAACTGAATCTAGGATCTTAGTCTTCAAGTTGAGGGCAACTCGAAGACACTGGAACACACACCTTGGAGGTTTGTGCTAGAATAAATATTAGTTGATTAATCTTTAGGTTACTTAACTCTTGTAATCTCTTTGGTTGTTGAGGCTCATTTATTTGGTGAAGTTGGGGTAAATCTTGTTGAGGAACAGGTCTTGGCTTTTACACCTTTGTGAGCCGAGTGGTTTCACGTAAAATATTGTGTTCTTATTTTACTGGCTTTACTTCGCAATTGAAATACGTTAGGCAACTTGGTTCACTTAGGATAAGTTTAAAAGAAAAGTAAGTAAAATCTAGGTCGTGTAGAGTAACAGAAGACTTACAAGGAACATTCACAAGAAATCACTTGAAAATCCATAAATAATAATAAGACTAACAATACAATACTGAATGCGATCTTATTTATCAAAAATAAATACTGAAGGCAAATTCATTTATGCTTGCAACCAAAACGGAAGATCAAACAAGATACTGAATTACTAACTACAATAACAAATGGGGGAAAAACACTGAATTAGAATTGGAAACCTAAAGCAAATGTAAAACGATGTGTTACCGATTGGACTAATAGTTGCACCTTCTTCAGCTGAAACCCAAAACCCTGGGCTTTGTACTTCTGGTTGATCATCCAGAAATTATAATGACAGAGGAAGAAATTCATCAATTAGGTAAACATGCTTACTGAAAACAATTGAATTTTCAAAACAGTGTTAATAGACATAGTACTCTAGAGAAAATGTGGATAGTGCAGCTATGGTTTCTTCAATCGGAACTGTCATTTGATGTGAGAGAGATCTGGAGGATCACCCATTTCATTCATATATATTTACTTAAATATCGGTTGGTATAAGAAATGAGGTAGCTTGATGTAGTTCCTACGCGTTCAATTGGATCCAATATGTTTGACACAAATGTTAAATACATATGTGAATAATAATAAAAACAATCAACTATGTTTTGAGCCCATAATTGCAGAAACTTAGTATTGAGAACTTAAATGCTAATTTCATCGAAGTTAAATCATTGGTGATTAATTTTAATAGGTGTAAGGCTTAAAGCAAGTTGACGGTGTCAATAGTGATATTTTAAGCAAGATAAGAAATACCTAAATGTGTAAACATATGGGGAAATGGTGAAACATTTCTAATGTAAGCTAATCAGGTTTATGAGAAAATTACAAATTAAAGCCTCTCTTTAATTGGATTTGATCGTTTGGTCATCAATTCAGCGATTTTCATTGCAAGCAATCAAAAAATTTGCAAAAATATAATAGAGGGAACATATATTTTGATAAATTTAGCTTCAATGAAACTGTATCAATTACAAATTATTTTGAGGAAAAACAAGTGGATTGACCTGTTTCAAATGTCGACTTTGACTAAAGCGTCCAATTCAACAACTAACTTGAGAACTTGCAAACAAGTTCTCTTCTAGTTTCCTCTGCAAGGATTCATGGGCGAGTTCGGCCTGCGATGTCAAGAAACCCGAAATACCCAATTAACAAGATTTTTTGTAAAGGTTTGAACTTGTAAATGAAATACATGTATATATCTAGCAGAAAGAGTAAAAGAACTAAAACTAAAGAAAAAAGGCACAAACATTGGAAGAAATCCAGAAATAACGAGTATAAAATCAATCGAGAAAAAATAAAAAAAGGGTGGAGGGCAGGCAATGGGAATTACCATATCAAAAGGAAAAATGTTATGGGCACCATAATGAGCATACAATAGTTTAGGCCACATAACTAATTCACAATTTCTTCAATTCAACATAAATGGACCTTAAGCATCTCAAATAATGGGTAAAACTTAATATTCATTGAATAATAAATGGAAACAAACTCCAAAAATCAAATTTGAATATATAGGCTCCATTTTGAAACTTAGCATCATAATCAAAGTAAAGTAACGAAACTCATGAATGCAATTCGAGGGATCTCAAACTCCATTACGAACATGCAAGTAAAAAATTAATCAAAAATCAGAAGATTAACAAAGATTTGGAATCGAAATTTCCAACAAAAACTACATCAGGTATGTCACACCCCGAGCCTACACCCTGGGCGGGACTGACACTCGAGAACCATTGCTGGCCCCAAGCAAACCCTTGACCCGGCTTACTACTTAGCAGAAGACTTAAACACAAGAAAATAGTCTCAAATGATGAACTCATGAAATAAACTTAGAATGTGTTAAAGGAAACATTCAACTAGCCAAGATGGAAACTCAAGTCTCAAAACATAAGCCAATAACAAAATAGTGGCAAATGAACTAACTAACTGTCTTCTATGAAGCCTCTAAAAGTAGGAGGGATGTCGGGAAAAGACACCCGATCATCCTAGCCACTGAAAAATACTAGAGCAATGTAAATAGGGATCTTCCGGAAAGCAAGGAGGCTTACCACAAGACTCTATTTGCGCAATTGGATCAACGAAGTGTTGGATGCTGATCCTGATTACCTGTATCTGCATCATTGTTATGATGCAAACCAAATGGCATCAGTATATTGAATGTACGAGCATGCAAGGGGAATACTAAAACAAGACATAGGCTTGAAAGGAACTGAAAGAACATACATGGGCTCAACTCAACTTAACTTATTTCAATATAAAGCAATAATATGAATGCAGTATAGAGAAAAGCTTTTAAAACATGGATAACAACTCTGTGTATTTATAAATAAAATAGTAACTCTGTAAGTATGCAAATATACAATATAAACTCTGGATGTATATAAAAATACAACTAACTCTGTGTATATAATAATACAAAATACTTATGTGGAAGTTTCTCTAACCGACAACCATAACTTAAGAGCTATTGTGATGATACAATGTTTTACCTCACGTTGCCAGGGCCGTCCTATACCTTGCCGAGGGTATAGAACCTGACTACTAAGTGGATCCACTAGTTTTTGCTAATATTCACTAAGGAATCATATAAAAAGTATGACTTTTTTCTACCCATGATGGCTACATGGTTTATGGGAGCTAAGAGTTGTCTGAACTCTCCCCCATATCTGTGCTCAATACTACTCCTAAAATATAATACTAGCTCTTATGTTTTAAAAACATAACTTCTTTTTGTGGTTTGAAATAATTTCTCAAAACTTATCTCAAAGGCTTTTTCTTGGAAATCAAAGTTTCTTCTCTTGCTTAATTGTGAAAGCAGTTACTCTTTACTGAAAACTAGCTCAAGGCTCCTTTGGAAACTTCAGTTTCCTTTCTTATTTAAATGTGAAAATATTTTAAACTCTTTGGGAATACATAGTCCCCATATACTATTTGAAAAAATGAACTTCACTCTTCACTCTTTACTCAACTCAAAACTCAAGTCTTAAAACAAAGTTAAAACGTTTGTAAAAGACTCTTGGGAAACTCTATGAACTTCTCTTGACTTGACTCTTAACCTTCCTTGAATTGAATTATGGATTCAAGGCTCATGATATCATGTTATGGATGATTTAATGTTGTTTATACATACCTTAGAGTGTAGAAATCAACTAGGAAACATAGGTACGTTTCAAGGGAACTAGTACGGAAAGAAGTGGGAAATGGTAGAGAACCTGGCGTCTCTGGCGCTCTAAGTGGTGCGGGGCGCCAGACCCAAAAGCTTCAGAACAGGGGATGGGGGGCAGTGGTTGGCGTGGCACCCCAGTACCCAAACTACAGAACATAAAGTGGGGTGCTCTGGCTGGCGCGGCATCCCAGACCCTTGCCCAGAAAATCCCAATTTTCCTTGCTCGTTTTTCAACTCTAAACACTCTAGATTCAATTGGTTCCTTCCCCAAACACTTAGATTCGAATACATAACCAAAATATGTAAGAATCTACTCAAAACGGCATCTAATTTCATGAATTTAAATCAAGAACTTCTCGACAACTTCGACAATCAAGAACCCAATAGAAACTTCAACAAATTCATCAAGAACTCAATTTCTATACTTTCAAGAACAAAATTTCGCTGAATAAAATTATGATTGGCACGTGGGTGAACTAACCCAACGCTATGTAATCTCACATACCTAGTAAGGATCACTCCTTGGCGAAATCTACAAGCAAATCTTCAAGAACTTGGCGATTCCTTGCTTCTTCTTCATTTTTCTCCTCTTCTTGTCTCTTCTCTCAAAACCCTAACTTATTTTAAATAGCGTAAGCTGAATCCAATCAGTTTAGACCCCAACTTAATTACAAAAAATGAATTTAATTAATTGGGTAGTGAAAAGACCATAATACCCTTCTAAAATCCGGTTTTAACTTTCATTATCTAGACAACCCAACTTTAAATGAGCATATCTCCCTCATACGAACTCGAAATTGATCAAACTCGGTGGCGTTGGAAATATAATTCAAAGATATTTTCTACGGTATCTTATAGAACACCTAAATCATCCTGATCTA